AGAGAGAGAGAGAGAGAGAGAGAGAGAGAGAGAGAGAGAGAGAGCTCAGCCAGAGGGATATAAGAAAACTGCTCTTTACAGAAACACATTCAAGAGAGGGTGGATATCAGTTTACAGAATGGTGCGTGGGTTGTTTCATTTAACTTCCTTTTATGTTTATTTGTTTAGTCATAATAATTAAATTTTCATTGTAATCCTTTTTTTTAAATAAATATCTCTGAATATTTGTCATTTTCCACTAAATATTAGCAGACAATACGCAAAACTAATGAACCTTTGCATTTCTGAAGGCTGTACAAAGTCTAAATATAACACCTGATACAATTTCTAATGACAAGATAAGAAGACGGAGTCAAACAAAGTAAGATAAACAATGTCCACCGCAGTATTGTATTTATAGAGTCCCGATACTGATACTTGTATCAGAAATGCTGTTATGGCCTAAAATGCTGGATCGGGTATCAGCAAGTCCACGGGTCTATGGACCAATCTGATATCACCTCATCATATTTTTAATCAGCTCATTTATGCTACACAGGAACAACAACACTGAGCATGTGCAACTCTTGACAGAAATGAGAAAGAAGCGAGATGGCTGAATACATAAACACGACACAAACACACTTTGGGGACACGGACACCGGTCGCCTGGTTGAAAGTCCTGTGTTTGTCTGTTTGGCCCACCGTAGTCTTTCTATTATGTCACTATGTCTGACTGTTGCGATGCGTTTAAGTTGAGTATTCCCAACGAGAAAAGGATCCTATAAGTGACTTTCCATGACAACACACCTTGTAATGCGCCGTTATGAGGTCGTGGTCATTTAAAGGCATTTCTGTGAGAAAGTTGGATCAGCAAGTTGCTGGATGTTTACAACGGACATTTTGTTCCCAAATAAGTTCAGCTTCCATTTTATTTAAACCTGCACGAGTGTCTAACTGCTCGTGGTGCTCTGCCCGTCAGACCTGCCGTGTTCCCAGATGTTCAGCAGTACACTATTAGAAATGACGGTCAAGCCAAATTATCCTCTAAAATCAAAACCTCTATGAGAGAAACTGCAGTAAACAGCCAACGGGTCTCAATAGTACAGGTCTGTATGTCCTAAGCAAATGATGTCGCCTTTATCTGGAAAATCCCCAAATTCCTGGATGTTCTTGTTTCGTTGTGCTCATATAATCCCAGAAACCTCTCCACCTTGCATTGTGAAATGTTGGACTTCTACCGGCCACAACTAAGCAGCTTACTGATAATCAGCAGATCACAACATCGGAGGCTTAGAGGAGAGTAAAGCACATTGTTGTCCGCACCCGGATCAATTAAAGACTCCATATATGATGCTTTTCCCTTCCAAAGACTCCCAAACACATAGCGAAGCATTCCTTCAACTGCAAGCTTGACACAACATCTTTGTCTTCTCCTCTTAGTGTCTCAGCCAGAATCCCAACGAATGTCAGAATATGAAACTAAAGGAGGGATTTTTAATTGAGAGCATGACCATTTCATCACTTCAACTAAATGCTCAACCCAATTAACCAAAGGAAAAAGGCTCGTCATTGTTTTGTCTAATACTCACATCGTTACGTCTGTGATTCAGAGGTTTACAGCACACGTGGGGAGAAAGTAACACCTTCCAAAACACGGCTCACAGAATTACATTTGAGAATTATGGATTGTGCATCATCAACCTCAGTAAACCAAAGGGGAGGAAAGTTCATTCTGGGAAAAAAAAAACCCTGGATCTTTAGAAACACCATGTGGTCTCAACTACTCAGCACTCAAACAACAAGTGGTCAATACGTGTCTGTCTGTCTGTCTGTGTGTGGAGTGTGTGTGTGTCTGTCTGTGTGTGTGGAGTGTGTGTGTGTGTGTCTGTCTGTGTGTGTGGAGTGTGTGTGTGTAGTGTGTGTCTGTCTGTGTGTGTGTCTGTCTGTGTGTGTGGAGTGTGTGTGTGTGTCTGTCTGTCTGT